ACGTAGCCGATGCAGAACTTTTTTGGAAAAAAAAAAAAAGAAAAGGGATTTTGGCAAAACGTAGCCGATGAAAAAAAGTTCCAAAAAAAAAAAAAAAAAAAAAAAAATATATATATATATATATATATATATATATATAGGGTTTCAGTTTAACCCAACGTTACACGTTTACTATTTAGTAAAATAATAGCTTACTCACATTTATAGACCATTGAATTGCTATAGAGAGGCTTTTGGGGGGCAAATATCCTTATTGCGCTCACAAACACAGCAGCTATGCCCATACCGTCTGTTAAACGTGCGTTGCAATTTATCTGACTGTATCATTTCCTGCAGCGGTATTGGTATTGTAATCTCATTTTGAGTCAGAAGTCCCTGCCACACGGTCACACATACGTTAGTGCAATTACCATTCAAACCATGTCTTTGCTACATGACACGTCACTCTATAGGAGGCAGTTGTTTTTATTTCTGTTGAGGGCCGGCGTTCCCTTTGAGTTAGCGTATGATTTTTATTCATGTATGGGCAGCGGGCCAAGGCCAAGGCTTTAGTTGGGGGATTACGCATGCGAATGAAAAGCGATGTAAATGAAGTGCTGCAGCCGCTGCAGTCTTTTGCGTGCCAAAAGACGAGCAGAGCAGGGTCGAAAGGCTGCCAGGCTGAAAGTAAATTTTTAAATCGGCTTGTTTAGTATAACACCTTGGAGTCAAAAATGTATAAAGAGTGTGAACTTTGTACAAAAAAAAAAGAAAAAGAAAATGTACACATTTACATGCTCACAGATACAGTGCTGTGAAAAGCATTTATAGCCTTGTACCTCCTCACAGTTTCACATTTCAAGCAAAAATAACCAATGGATTGATTGTAATTTGTCATTTTTTTACAAACCAAAACTCTGAAAAGTGTCGTGCATTTATTATGGGCCTCTCTTTACATGCATGTAAAAAACAACACACCATGCCTCTGATTTAGTGGGAGCCCTGCTCCTTCTTCTCTGTATCAAGAGATTGTTATTCTGTAAGAATTATTTTTAAGAAACTTTCTGTGTGGCCTGGTACTAAATAACCATTGGTTGGTCCTGATTTGTGCCCCAGTGTTTGGAGACCTTTGATGTAAAGGGACAGAGCAAACAAGTGAAAGATAGTTTTCTAGTGAGATGATTTGAATTAGAACGTTTCGGTTTGTACACCCTTTTGCTGTGCGGTGAAGAAAACAACACTATACATGCTCCTAAAAATACAGTATGGTGCTGCCACCACTATGTTTTACGGTGGGGAGGCTTCCCTGCAATAACAACAGGGCTGATGGTCAAAGTTGAAGATGGAGCTAAAATTTGAGACTGGATCAGAGGTTTACCTTTGAGCAGGACATCAACCCTGCAAGCATACGGCCGTACATCGGAATAGTTCGCTTCAAAATAATTGATTTAGGATATTTTTTGCAAAAAAGGATGGGAAAGAATTTTAGCTTCTGTGTAACAAACGTAACTCAAAATACTTTGGCAGCTGTGTTTTTGGAGTTGGAGCAAATGAAAATGTATAAATGGTATGTTTTCCTCCAGCTTCATAACATGGAGAAAATCTGCATTGGTTTATTACACTGAAATCGCAGTGACATACAATGAAGCATGATAAAAGTAAACATACGTTTTCAAGGCACTGTATACCTAAAATGACAAACCACTTTTATATGAAGGAAAGGGGCTGAGTAATGGAGAGGTAGAGAACTAATGAATGTCCGTGAAACTACCTGCTTAACAGAATAAAATGCAAGTTGAAACCTTTTGTTAGCCTTTACTCCTCTCGCGAGTTTTACTTTGATCTCTTTGATCCCTCTCTTATTGTCTTCATGTATTCACATCTTATCTCACGTCAAGCAGGCTAATATTTCTTCTATCATACTGGGGAGAAAAGGAAAAAAAAAAACATCATATGCATTTTTTCTCTGTGATCCCACAAGAAACAAACCCAACACAATAGAATAGACAGCTTATTCTCTGATCTCTTCCTACACTTATTATGCAACACTAATTAAACAAGATATTTGTGCCAGCAACTAATCTGCTTTTAGGTTTCACAGGGCTACGGCAGGGTTTTTAAGATTTTTATTTATTTATTTTTTTCTCCAAGGAAATGTGATGATTATATTTTCAGTTTAAAATGCAAGTCATCACCAATAGCAACATGTGACTCAATTTGGATGGAAAATGGACACTTCTTCCGCTGACATTTGTCTTCACACATTAATACACAAGAGGCCAGAAGGGACCAGCTTTCAGTCAGGAAGTAAGGTAGAATATTCTTGGTTTAAAAATAAAAAGCAATAAATAACAACATTAATGGATCATCAAAAATGGGAAGAAAAAAACATTCTGTGGACTCTATATGAAGATAGTTTTCTGTTTCTCGACCTTGTCAGCAACCGAAGCATTTTGAAGCGCAAAAGGTACTTTGGATTAAATGCTGCGACATAAAGCCCCATCCCCCACTCCACAAGCTTTATGCACACACATGAATGCACACGCAAACCCCCTCCTCCACCCCGGTGTTTTACTTTTTATAACAAGGGAGAACATCCAGATTACTGAATCTTTTTCAGGGAGTGAGATCATAAGAGATTTTCAAAAATAAATAAATAAATAAAAGGGGCGAGGGAGGTATTTGGGTGCGGCATATATTTCAGCAAAACAAGGTTTCATCATGGAGTTAAATTATAAATATTTATATCAAGAGTTGAAAACCGCAAGTTCTGGATTTGTTTCTTTCTGTCCACTCCACCCCGGAGCAGACGGTAGCGGAGGACAAGTACGAGTTTACAATATTCCCAGTCTCAGATTATTGCAGTGTTCAATGCCCTGCAGTTGCTTTATAGACAGCAGGTCTGAGTAATCCCAAATCAAGGAGAGCAAAGCAGCGGCAGAGATCGTCAAGGACATTTCAGAGTGCATTGGGCAGCAGTTGTGTGGTGGCTCTGCTGCAAGCATGGGGCCCGAGGGATTAGAGTCCAATCAGACTGGATTTGATGTTTGCTGACAGCACATGGGACTTAGCTGAGCCGACTGTATTTCATTTGTTTTCAATGAAGCCCCGCACCTTGCCTGGCCTTCCTTCCGTGTCCTGTTACTCTGATGCGTCTGAAACCTGTTGACAGCCACGGATCATCAGCAACTTCAGGTGGGTGTCTGGAGGAAGGGGGAGGCGTGGGGGAAGTTGTGGGAACGGGTTTCAAGTAGGATTGGCTTCATTGTCATCACCAGGTTTCCTAACTGGTTCACGTGACGTCACAGAAGGAAGTGGAATTAAACAGGCTTTATTTGGATGTAATCCTCCATAGCAATCGGCAGAGCGAGTAAAATGTCCCACTGAAGGGGGAGATAAACCGTTCTGGATTAGTACAAGCCCCAGCCCATCCCAACCCATAACCCAGCCTATCCTCTTTTTTTTCTTCTTCTCTTTTTTTTTTTTTTTTGACCTACTAACAAATGTGTAGTGGCTATCTTGAGCTTGCGTCCTGTGATCGGGTCTTCCACGGAATAACTCAACTGCTTCCACAGTGTTTGTGTGGTTTTGTGTGATATGGATGATTTTGTGTGTGGTGTCCTTTTTCCTCTTGCACAACAAGGCAGCATGACCAGAGATTAATTATTCAAGGACTGCCAGCTAAAGGGGGAGTCATCCGATAGCTGGGACTTATAACAAGCTGGTATCAGGTGAAACTGTGCACTTTGTTAGGTGTTTTTTTTTTGTGCTTGCTTTGTGCTTCCCTTTCGGTTCTATCTTTGATGCTGGAGAATTGAACTTTTAAATACTCCAAAGAAATTTTTATTGTGGTTTTTTTTTATACATCTGATTTATTTTTTAAAGAAAAGCTATTTCCTTTTTTTTTGCCAATGCTTGTTACGAACAAACAATTGGGTCTTGGACGCTCCCACAGTTGGGACACGTTAGGGGGGAATGAGGGTCAGTGGGAGAGGCAGTGCGACAGTGTGTATGACCAGCAAGCAAGAGTAGCAGGCCGTCGGAGCTCCCTGTCATACGGGGAGGGAGGAGGCTGGTACGAAGCTCCACCGGGGGTGCGTCCCCCTGACCTGGATTTGAAACGTGCTTCATATTCTTACCAAGACCCTTCCTACGGACAGGTCTACACAGAGCGGCAGGACCCACGCGGACTCAGGAAGAGCTCTGTGCCTGACATAAACCACTACGAACGGATACCAATGGCTCACCGAGGCTCCATTCCACATCAAGATTACTACTCTCATGACCCAGCCATGACTCCTCGGCCACCTGAAGGCATTTACAGGCCAGAGCACCAGCCTCCGCCACCTCACCCTCATCAACTCAGCAGGTCAGGCTCCCATTTTGGAATAGCTCCTGGGGCTCGTACTGTGTGGGATCAAACTCAGCCAGGCAGAAGTGGACCTCAAGCTCCTTCATCACCTTTGCCTCCACAACCACCTCCAACAGCCCATGAGTTAAGTCGGACTTACAGGGAACCTGGGGCTATAACCGTTGCCAAGATTATGCAAGACGGCCAACAGCGCTTACCTTCCAGAGACCTACCTCCCGGTCACTATGGTATGGACCATCCATCTCCTCGATATGCCAGTGAACCACCCCGTCTCACCGGGCCGTCCGTCTATACAGATGTTGATGTACGGCCTCTGGATTCACAGCAGCAAGTTGCCACCTGTCTCGTTGTAGATCCAGCAACTCAAGGTATGATGAGGCAAGAGACTGCATCACCTTACACCATCCAACAACAGCAGCACTTACAGCAGCAACAGTTACAACAGCAGCAGTTGCAACAGCAACAATTACAACAGCAACAACTTCAACAACAGCAGCAACTTCAACAGCAGCAACTTCAGCAGCAGCAACTTCAACAGCAGCAACTTCAACAGCAGCAGCTACAGCAGCAGCTACAGCAGCAGCCAGTTCAGCAGCAGCCTTTACAGCAGCAGCAGCTTCAACAAGAACAGTTGCAGCAGCAGCAGCATCTGCAACAGCCGCTTCCACCTCCACCCGCCATGCCGGTGTCTGATCCTAACCTTGCTCTGTCCTCTCCACTTCCAGCTCCAACTGCTCAAATGCAAACTGTGGCAGTTGTTGCTGCTGCACCTGCACCTCCATCTGTTCAGAGTGCCCCTACTCCAGCTCTTCCTCCTCCTCCAGCTTCCCCACTTCCTGCTCCACCTTCTATGCCTCCTGTATCATCTGTCCCGCAGACACCTTTGCCTGTGGACCCCAAGAAGACGGTGGATCCAGAATTCCTTTCTTTGCTGCGCAATGAAGGCCTCTCGGAGAGCACCATTTCTTCACTCATACAGCAAGGCTTTGACTCTAGTAGCTTGTTAGCTGTTATGGAGGAAAATGATGTCCGCACTGTGGCCCCCAATCTTGGCCAGGCTCGCGTACTGTCTCGGTTGGTTCATAACTACAAGCGGCCCATTGAAGCTACGCCAGCCCCATCCCGTCCTCAAACACCCATGCGAGGTCGCTCTAATAGCTTTAGCCATCGCTCAGACATCTATCAGCAACAACATCACCACCATCCACCGCACCTTTCTCAGGCTTTGGCTGTAGATCCTCAACTAATGCCCCCACCGACTCCTGGGGTCATGCAAACCATTTCTCCAAGGATGGGAGAAGTAGTAAGTCGGAGGCCAAGCAGTGCACCCTCTCAAAACCTCATGGAAGTCACAGGCGGCTACCCAGGTCAACCACCTCGTTCCCCTGGACATTACACTGGAGCCCTTATGCCTGTCCAGTCAAGACCAATGTCTGCTTACTCCGCAGGGGTAACGATGCCTGGGGTGCCTATGCAAGGTATGCAGATTATACCACAGCAGATGACTGGGTCAATGCCTGCACTACCAGGATCCATTCATTCTATGCAAGGTATGCCACAGCACATGCCTGTATCTTTGCCAGCATTACAGCAACCCCCCCAACAAGTACCAAAGGCATACTCTACCAATTATACAGTCCCTATGGAGCTGATGAAAAGGGACAGGAATTTGCTGCCATTATCCCCCATGCATAGCCCTCATCCAAGCCCTCAGCTGATTCGTAAGGGTGGGGGTCCTGCAGCAGACAATGCCATGGTCCCCGTGGGAGCTCCAGTTCAAGGTCAAAGTGCATTGACTGCTAACCAGAAGTTAAGCCGACGCACAGGTCCTCCCGTCATTGTGTCCACCATGGCTTCTCCAGACACAAGTAAATATATCCTTTTTTTTAACTATTTTATAGAAATCTTTTGTTTGCTTGGGGTTTTTGTAGATATAACTTTACTTCATATGACTTTTATTTAGTTGATTTACAGATTTAATAGACAAACAATATATTTTACCTAGGCCCTATTTTGTATAACGATCAGTATATAACACCAGTTCATGGTGCTGCTATTGTATTTAAGTGCTATACAGTACAGTCACAAAATGCTTAAAATACCAACTTAAGTGTTGGCTTCCAATTACATATTCAAATTTATTTTCACCAGTTGACTTGATGAATCATTTATACTGTAAGTGAAAAGACATTTTTTGTGTTTTGCTCTCAGATCAGGACTATTTGTTATTTGATCATTTTTCAAAATGTTTTTAATCTTACTCAGCAGTTTCACCATTTGCTTGCTGTCCTGTGTTTGTGCTTACTCTATCAATCACAGAGAAAGGTTGTGTCTTTTTTAGCTTTTATCTAAGCTTGTGGAGTGAAATTCTTAATGTTGTCACCTATCTCTTGTCAAAACGGGTTTTTGAATTAACCTGGATTTGGAATAATCACCCTGGAAATCCCTTCCCTGTCCTACTTTTGTTTCCTGCACACATATTGATACTAAAATAAAATCTGTCTTTCTCGCCTTCTTATCTGTTTGAGAGACGAATTTTTGTGTCCGCAAGATACTTTACGCAGTCATGTGAGTGATCTAAAGCTGGCGTTTTATCAGAATGAGAAACAGGTCTATTAAGTAAACGCACAAAGTGGTGTTGATAGGGCACAGCTTGAAGGATTTGGGGGGAAACAGCTGTCGGCATCCTTTCTGGTACGTCTTAGATGTTAACAACTGTCCTCAGTTCATGTTACAGTCTGTCAGTCGCTGCATTCATGTGTGAACAGCTTGCATTAAGATTCCTCTGACTGGGAAAGGCAGATATGATGTGCAGATGTGTTAAACCGTTTGGGAACAGACGATATGCATTTGTTGAAACAGTGTGGCTGCAGCGTTTAGGAATGGCTTTTTCCACCGCCTTTTTTTTTTATGTGATAATAAGAATGCTTCAAGGTGGGAAAAAATTAAACTTTATAGCTACTTGGACAAAGCAACATTCCCACAGACAAAATGTTGGTTAAATTCTCATTGAGTAATAAAAAAAACAGCTTTCAAGTTTTTATTTTTTTTCATCAGTGGAAAACTAACCCATTTTTTTTTCACATATCTTTCTTATACTGCCCTGACATAGTGACCTTTTTAACAAATATGAAAGAAAAGTTTTTATTGAAGTAACTTACTGCAGCTGTAACAAATTGAAAAATTATTTGAAAATTGATTTTGCATTTGTTCAGGTTATCTTTATTTGATACTTTTTTTAATGACCCGAAACATTTAAAGCATGTCAACAAGTTTAAAGAAACATAGAATTCGGCAAGGTGGCAATTAAAAGAATATTTTGCACAGTAAAGACTGATCTTCCCATTAAAACCAGAGCGAGAAAGCGAGACCAAACCCCATCATCAGACAGATAAAATTCAGTTACCTTTCTGATTGGGTTATTGTGCCATTTTCTCTGTGCAGGTGGCAATGAGAACAGGGAGAGGGGACGTTAATCCTTCAAATCCTCAATTTCAACTGCTGCACTGATGCATAGACACCTCGATTCAGCTCTGACCAACTTTAACTTTTAGACAGACTTGAACTGTAGGGGAAAAAAAAAAGCAGATCAAGGAACCAATTATTAGACTAAGCTGGGTTGTCACCCATGAGATCTTTCAGCCAAGGAGGCTGAGGTATAAAAGGATCCCCTTTGCTTCGCTGTCAAAACAGGCTGCTGTTCTTGGCTCTCATGGTCTCATGTGTTGGAAGCAGATTGCTTCAAGTGTTCGTCGAGCATCACATTGTTAACACACACATACAGTTCGAAGAGGAGACCTTATTTGCATGTGGCCGACATTTGTTACTTTAGTAATTTCATCTCTTAATGGAGACGTCTGTGAAGCTGCACTGAAAGCATATTCCTAATTTGTGCGCTGCTAAGCAACTCGGTCATTCTGAACCGAGCCGCTTCTGGTTAAATCGTTGGTGCCAAAAAAGTACTTTTAATTTAGAGCTTATTATGATTGTTTTTCTCCCAGTTTTTCCACTTCAAAAGATTAATATCACAAAATCATGTTTTTACTATATTAATTTAAACTACTATGTTGTTTTTAGACTAACAGCTTTACGCAGAAAAAGCCACCTATTTTGAGCGATATCTATATCAGCTACAAAGAGTTTACCAGGAGCCGAGCTATTTGGGTCTACCGCTATTTGAATTAATAGTCTTATGTGTAACACAGATGGCCAGCACGCGCCTCACCCAAATATATGACGCTCAGTGAATTACCCCGAAGTGGGAACATCTACTCCAAACAGGACTTCCCCTCCCCCACTCCAGCATAAAATATCCCACAATATAACCCTGTGGGACTGGACAATGCTACATTGGAAAAAAGAGACATTGCAATGTTTTGTTTCTCAGTACTATATGCATACAGCATAGGGTGTCCTAAAAAAATAGTTAATATCAGGATTAGACGCAAAACGCCAGGAGGTAACCAGTGATCCTTTGATGAGCGAGATTAAGATTTAATTAGAAAGAAGGATACTGTAAGACTCATTGAAGAAGTTTAGCCTTTGTTGGAGCATCTTGTCCAACAACATCTGGTTTTGTTTGAGGTTTTGGTGCCATGTTTTTGCAGTCTCTCTTATAAAAAAAAAAAAGAAGAGAACTTTCTTTTTACTTCCTGTCCTATTTTCTTAAAGGGGCAGTATTTAGTTATATTTGAGGCGTGGGTTAGGAGTGCTCTGTGTGACGGGAATTTGAAGACTTCAAGGAGCAGACTTGGGTGAATAGGCGGTGCTTTGCAAGAGCAAGTGTTTAGGTACCCTTGAATGGCTGCCATGGGAGATTCAAGGATTCCTCAAACATACATGACTGCATCAAAAAAAAAACCCACTCCAACTAGGTTTTTGTTATGAGGGAATAACATTATAACATGATATAAAGCTTAAAAAAAAAAAAATCATGTTTTTGCAAATACCTCCCTTTTTAATTTTCTGTGCGTGACATCTAGCGTCAGCAATGAGGCTCTTGTGTCCTGCTCTACTTTATGGCTTCACCTTATTAACATCCTCCCCTGCAGAGGGGCCCTGCTCCCGTTTGTTGGACGGCCCGAGGGCAGCTCGGGTCAGTTCTGCTCTGCGTGACACACTAGCCGTCTTCTTCCCGTTGGCTTTGTGCGATGGTGGCTGGGGATTGGGACATATTAGTTCTGGATATTGCAGATTATGCGTTTGCAGGGTCCCGGGTAAAGCCGAGCGCAGAGAATGAGGGATAAAAGAAACGAGAGAGAGAGAGTCATGCAACTGGAAGGTGACGGTTGCTGGCTGCATGGTTGTGGGGGGCAGAGAATTGTCAGCTGTCATTCAATGAGGTTATCTCTGCAATCTTACATGTGCAGTGAGGGTCAAACACTGACCTTAATCTGGACTGACAGTAAGAGGTTGTTCTTGTTATGTTGGTGGTCACTCTGTACTTTGGAGGAGATGATTTTTTTTTTTTCAGTAACCTTGCAAATGGGCAAAATAAATGAGTTGTTCTTCCTCCAAGTTTTGTTTCTCTCTTTTTCAAGTTTGTCATAACACACTTGTTATCTACACACTAAGGGACGTATGACTTGGTGTATAGATAACAACCATATACTGTATGTTGCACCTGGAGGTTTGATAATTTGCTCTAGGTGATGATAATTGGGTTGAGATTATGAAATCAAAAAAATCTCAACCCTCTCCACCAAATCTCTTCGAAATTAATTGTTTTTATTTCTAATATATACATTTTTTCTTAAGGAAAAAAAAAACATCTTTCCTGTTGTACTTCTGTGCAGCTATCAGTTGTCAGGATTTAGCAGCTTACACATCTCAAGCGACAATCTGTATTTGTCAGAATGTGCTGCATGACATCGACATCAACATCTGATATTAACAACTGTTGTTTATTTCCTTTAAGTTTCTGTTTCTGTACGCGTGTCATGGAGTGGTCTGGGACGAGGTTGGACATGTGGTATTTGTTTGGTCGTGTGATAGTGGTGGCCATGCACCGCCGGGGTTGTGTCTTAACTCAAAGACTGAAGCAATGTCACCGATAGTGATGCCTTGAAATAAATCCGTCCTTTATTGCATTGCAGGCTCACCTCAAGCTGGCAGAGCCTGCAGTCCTCAATGCAGTCGTCCCAAATATTGCCAAGGAAGCACATTTATTTTCGTTGAGCATTCTCTAAATCTCTCTGAGTGCTTCCTCACTTCTTCTTCTTCTTCTTTTCAGTTGTAGATTCAATGAAAAGACGTGCCACAAGCACATGTGCAATGTGCAAAGTCGAGTTGCGTCCAAACATCAGACCCTATATTGTAAGAACACGAGTCGGAAGCTGTGAATTATTGAATCCTGCGATGTAGTCGAACCGTCTGAGCTGGAGCTGAGTATCGTGCAGTGAATGGCCAGGCTCACTGTAAAGACTTAGTTTCGCTCGGGGCTCAACCTGACGACAGCTGCTTTGTTTCAGGCGTGTTACAGTGAAGAAAAGCTGGCTAAGCGCTGTCATTTCCTGTCACATCTGGATTTGTTTTGTGCTATAATGTCAGCACTGTTCAGTGATGGTGAGAAATGGGAAGGTCAGACAAACTGCATTCAGATTTCTCACTCGTGTATCAAGTGCCTGTGTTAATGGTACAAGTATAGGCAGCAGCTTCACCACGAGCAGAGAGACCAAACTGATGTGTCTGTTCGAGCTTAGCCTTTAGCTGCTTTGGATTTATTGGTTAGACCTTTTACTCTAACATAGTCGTAGAAATATGACATTTTCAGAAACATTCAGTGTGTACAACGAAATGTGGAGTAATTTTGATATAAACTTTCATAGATCTCTACAACTATGAGTGTATGAAGGTGGTTGTTTTTTACACTCTTTTGCACTCTTCCACGTCTCTTTGTTTATTGTGCAGAAGCCCTAATAATGTATCAGATCTTCTCAGAAACCTTTTGAATTGAGATTTTTTATTTTTTTTTCTTAGCGTGTTAGCTGGGGTCAAACAACCGCTAACACGCTAACACTCAGCTTTCTGTTAAAGTTTGTCATCCCATAGTATTAATGTCTTTGTAATTTGTACTGGTAGCTTGTAAACTTGTCTCTCACAGATAAAATCTCTGATGTTGCATATATGTATGAGTTGGAAAACACAGAACTAATACAAATCTTAAATGTATGCTTGTTTATTGACTAACATTTATGAATTTAGACTCCTACGCATACATTTTAAACTGACAGTAATCTAACCCCATGCATCCTC